TTATTTGTGAACTGATGTTCAGCTGTTCTTTTTAATAGTCAACTTATTTTCAGGTCATCGTCATAAAAGCCCTGTAAACTTTGTCACAGAAACAAAGATGCATCTTTCATTTCATGAAGTCACGGCACGCTTTAGGGTCTCTGTAGAAAGTCTATGGACCGATAGGAGGCAAGCCTCCGCTCTAACTTTACCTGCGGGTGTCGCTGTTGGATAGTGTTACTTTATAAAAACGAGTGACTTTTAGACTTTTAATGTCATATTTAGTCATATTTGCGTTGTTTTATTTTTGTAATATCGATTATTTTCTCATCCACTTTTGAGGAGAGGAGACACTGCCTCCCTTGCCTTATATATGTATATACAGTGGGGAAAATATTTATTTGATCCCCTGCTGATTTTGTAAGTTTGCCCACTTACAAAAAAATGAAGGGTCTGTAATTTTTATGGTAGGTTTATTTTAACATATAGAGACAGAAAAACAACCAAAAAAATCCAGAAAAAAACACATTATATAAAGGTTAGAAATTGATTTGCATTTCAGTGAGTGAAATAAGTAATTGATCCCCAAGCAAAACATGACTTAGTACTTGGTGCAGAAACCCTTGTTGGCAAGCACAGAGGTAAGACTTTTCTTGTAGTTAACAAGCCCTTCATATAAAATTTTTTTAAATGATGTTCAATTCACTTTACTCATGTTTTCATCTTATTGGTTTTCCTAAAAATCCCTAACTGCAGGGGTTACTCACTTTTTGAGAAAATAAATTTCATTACTTCCCCAGAAAATCATGAGTACTGCACAAATACTTGTACAAGTAAAACATTTTAGGATCTCTATTTGTAGATATGTACGTAGGTTTCTTGGCTGTCATTTGGCAACTCAAAGTTTCAGCTCCCTCCACAGATGTATTTCATAATAAAAATGCATTATCGTATGTCATATTAATCAGCATCAAACAAACAATATAAATCTTATTCTCAGTGATTAAAGGTTTTCTATAAGATTGAGGTCTGGAGACTGTCTAGGCCACTCCATGACCTTAATGTGCTTCTTCTTGAGCCACTCCTTTGTTGCCTTGGCGGTATGTTTTGGGTCATTGTCATGCTGGAAACCCATCAATGACCCATCTTCAGTGTTCTGGCTGAGGGAAGGAGGTTCTTGTACAAGATTTTACAGTTCATGGCCTCGTCCATTTGCCCCTCAATGCGGTGAAGTCGTCCTGTACCCTTGGCAGAAAAACAGCCCCAAAGCATAATATTTCCACCTCCGTGCTTGACTGTAGGGATGGTGTTCTTGGGGTCATAGTCAGCATTTCTCTCCCTCCAAACACGGTGAGTCGAGTTAAAGCCAAAGAACTCAATTTTGGTCTCATCTGACCACAGCATTTTCTCCCACGCCTTCTCTGAATCATTTAGATGTTCATTGGCAAACTTTAAACGGGTCTGTACATGTGCCTTCTTGAGCAGGGGACCTTGCGGGCACTGCAGGATTTCAGTCCATTGCGGCATAGTGTGTTACCAATGCTTTGCTTGGTGACAGTGGTCCCAACTGCCTTAAGATCATTAACAAGCTCCTCTCGCGTAGTTCTGGGCTGATCTCTCACCTTTCTCATGATCATCCTTACCCCATGAGGGGAGATCGTGCACGGAGCTCCAGACTGAGGCCGATTGATGTTTTTTTTGTATTTCTTCCATTTCCAAATAATCGCACCAACAGTTGTCTCCTTCTCAGCAAGCTTCTTGCTTATGGTCTTGTAGCCCATTCCAGCCTTGTGCAGATCTTCAATCTTGTCTCTGACATACTTTGACAGCTCTTTGGTCTTGCCCATGGTGGTGGAAGAGGTTGGAATGGAACATACATATTGTGTGGACAGATGTCTTTTATACACCTCTAATGAGCTGACATTAGGAGTAACTTCTTAAAGTGACAGGACTAATCTGTGTTCCACATGGGCACATAACCAATCTGTGGGAGCCAGAATACTTGCTGGTTGGTAGGGGATCAAATACTTATATATCTCTAACCTTTATGTAATGCGTTTTTTTTCTGGTTGGTTTTCTGTCTCTATCCGTTAAAATAAACCTACCATAAAAATTACAGACTCTTCATTTCTTTGTAAGTGGGCAAACTTACAAAATCAGCAGGGGATCAAATAAATATTTTCCCCACTGTATGTATGTATGTGTATATATATATATATATATATTGTATAAAAAAACTATAATATTGTAGTACTATTATAAGTAATATACAGTATAAGGTAAAATTGTTGTATCTATATAAGTTGTATCAATATATATTAATTATAAAGCACTATTATAACAAAATGTATTATTCTAATACATTAATTCTATTTATTTTATTGTCATCTCACATGGATCTGCATTTAAATGCTTTTTTCTTCTTTTTACAACAGGATGTTTTCTATAATGTATTTCATAATAAAAATGCATTATCGTATGTCTTATTAATCAGCATTAAACAAACAATATAAATCTTATTCTCAGTGATTAAAGGTTAAAGATGAAACAAAACATTTGAAAAAAGATTGTGCAAATCGCCACCTAATTGGTGGTTGTGCAATGTATGTATATGGCCATTGAATAAAAGAAGAATAAAGAAGTAGTATGGCATGCTTTTTCTTAGCGTCTGTTTCCATGACTTGTCGATTCGTTGCTCTGTTGAGAATGTCTTGTGTGTTAACCGTGAACATACTCTGAGTTGACTGAACTTACTCCCGAATGTGTTTTTGGAATCAGCATTCCTCGAGTAACCAAGGTTTGGGTTAATCAACCAAGATTTCAGGGTATAAGTGACGGCAAGTTAACCTTGCATTCTGGAATACCCCCCAGGATTGGAAACTACTGTGGAAACTTTGGTAGTTTTCCCATAGCAGTCAAGTGAGCCTATAAGGGAATATCTCCATTACTGTACTCTACCATACTCATTTTTTACTGCTATAAAGGTTCCAGAAAACTGTTGATATGAGAAAACACTTATAGCTAATTGTTCCAAGTAGAGGTCAAAATTCAATGTTTTGAGAAAGAATAAAAATCATTATTCCCTCCCTTGCATTTCTGTATGTAGTGTAAGTATACCTCATTTGTGTACTCAAAATGAATCAAAATGTTTAAAAATACAAAGTATGTGTGTACAAAGTGTACATTTCAAATAACTTATGTTTTAAACTACTGATTTTTTTCTTCACTTTAAAAAAAAATATATATATATATTTTTTTTTATCATGGACATTGACATTTCATTGACCCAAAAATATTTGCATTCTAATAGTAAAATGAATTGCAATGATACATACATGTCTACAAATAGAGATCCTAAAATGTTTTACTTGTACAAGTATTTGTGCAGTATTTTCTGGGGAAGTAATGACATTTATTTTCTCAAAAAGTGAGTAACCCCTGCAGTTAGGGATTTGTAGGAAAACCAATAAGATGAAAACATGAGTAAAGTGAATTGAACATAATTTTTCATTTTTTTTATATGAAGGGCTTGTTAAGGAAAGGTGGTGGAATCAAATATGGGATCCAAATATGACAACTTATTTAGCCTTATAGTGGAGTTATTAGCCTTTTTTAGAGATTCAGCATATGTGCTAATGTCCTGTCCAGTCCTGTGTCAGCTCTCTCATTTGTGGCCTAGAATGTGCTGGAATTGATTCTGTACTGGTGCCCAATCCTGATTCCTCACTCAGTTTCACAATTAATCCATACTGATCCCATCAGGTCACCATAACTCAAGTGTTAGTTATGGTGACCTAACATAATTTAGTAGACATGTGCCGGTATTCGTTAATACTATCGTTATTATCACAATAATGAACATATACGATATTGTTATCGTGGACACTACAAAATACTGAATAATTACTTATTACAAATTGCAGTACTTTCTGATACTGAATAGGGTTTAAAGGGGTTCTTGAATATGATTTCACTTTTTTAACTTAGTTATTGTGTAATGTTGCTGTTTGAGCATAAACATCTGCAAAGTTACGACACTCAAAGTTCAATGCAAGGGAGATATTTTATTTTACGGAATTTGCTTTTTAAGGCATAAAATAAATGGCTGGTAGGGACTACAACGATTTTCTTCCTGGGTTTGTGACATCATGAACCCTACAATTTAAAGATAACATAAACAGCAGTTCATAGCAGCACTTAGACTTAACAGGCTATTTATTTTCAAACCTTTTTACATTTTAATCTAGACTACAACGTGCACTAGATATTGTCTGAAAATGTTTTGATTCTTTATTGTTCTGCTCAATTAGTTAACATTAGTTAATTCATTAGTAAGCATAAACTGCCAATGAACAATTCTTCTAAAGTTAATTTCAACATTTAATAGCACGTTATTGAAATCAAAAAGTTGTAACTGTATTATTTAATGGACCCAAGCTAACATGAATTAAGAGTTGTGTTTTTTTTGGAATAAAAAATAACTTCTGTAACAAATATTGCTCATTGTTCATGTTAATGCATTAACTAAGGTTAAATATTAATTATTTTACACTTTAATTTGTTTGAAACGCTAGTGTACTTTATACATAGTGTTTGTTGAGGTAATGTAGTGTTGTGCAAAAAACACCTTGCATTTCCAATTCATTCTCCAGTAGGTCATGCTGAGAGCAAAACATTAATTTTCAGTGTGAGAATTGAAAGTCCTGTCAACAGCTACCAGTTGAGCATTTTGCATGTAAGATTATGGAAATCTGTTGGCGCCAGTAGCCTCGTGGGCAGCGCGCCGACATACTGTATAGTGCCGTTGCACTTCGGGCGTCCCGAGTTTGAGTCTTTTGTAGGGTATTTGTCAAGTATAATATTTGTTATCCAGTATTAATTGATCATATTTAGCATTACTGTGGTTAATCCAGTAGTACCTTTTCTTTGGCATTGCCCAGTAGTTGGTAATTACAGCTCCATTCACACAGAAGGGCCTTGCTGAAAATACAAGCAAGACCTGAAAATTTACAGGTGTGAGTATTGTTATAGAATGCAGTTGTCAATGTACTAAGTACATGTTAGTAGATAACATGTTATGTTGTAAGTCACCCAACATATATACCAGTCCCTTCATTTATCATAGGATGGAAAATGTTTGAAATATTTCAACCAATATTTGGAACCATGTCTGTTTGTGCGGAGTATGTTCTTCAATTAGATTGCATAATACATGCACTGCAAACAAGGACCATAATGCTCTTTTTTCTACATTCTACTGCTGTTGAACACAACAAAGTCCTGCCTCTCATTACATAACATGGATTAACATTTAAGCCCCCACTCACTTACTGTGCATGCTGAAACAATGGAATCTCTGTTTCAGGCACCATGATGTTAGTTCGACCCTGCCTGTGTTTCTGACCTCTTCTGTTTTAATAAAGCTTGCACATGGATCCGCACGTCTCACGTCTCATCAGCCCCGTTACAATAACAGAGATTTTTTTTTTTTTGAAAAAGTGCCTCTAAGATCATTTCAGTAAGAACAATCCACCTTTTTGCTGAACACAGTAGTCTCGTCCGCCTCATAACGGAAAAATACTTTACATTTTCGGTCTCTAGTGTTTCTAGTCAAATTAACAAACATTTTAATTTGCACATCCAAACAGAGGTTAGAATCCATCATGGTGGCGCTCCTCGGTTACTCAGGAAAAAGGAGGATAAAAGATAGATAATAGAATAGTTAGAGATCAATATGAATCACAAGCCACAGGAAGATGAGGTAGTTAGTGTAATAAACAAGGAATAGGGTTAGATGGGGAAGATGTCCCCTTAAGAACAAACTGTACAATATTTAGTTATAGTTTGGCATGCGCTCGATTTTGCATCAGCCAATGTGTTATTTAGGGAAATAAAGAAAAACATTTGCTAATTTAGCTGTCATCATTACACAAAATGTAAAATTATTCAAAGAGGTGTAAGATGGCCTATTATTAGAGATGAAGCAGTATGAAAATTTTACATAACGATTACAGTGACCAAAATGATCACAATTTTCAATATTATCACGGTATTGTTCAAATTTGCTGGAAAGTTAAAAAAGTACACAAACTGATCATACTCAAACTGAAATAATTTCACCAAGTTTTATGTCAAAAACCAGCAAACAACAAATAAAATTAGCAGCACTATGTACTTTTTGTTTACATAAATTAAATAGATCTATATGTATGTATTAGTGCTGTCAAACAATTAATCGCGATTAATCACATCCAAAATAAAAGTTTTTGTTTACATAATATACGTGTGTGTACTGTGTATATTTATTATGTAATATAAATACACACACATGCATGTATATATTTAGGAAAAATTTTATGTTTATATTAAACAGGGGTTAAAGCAAAAAAAAAATCCTGAGCCTGAACTTTTTTCCG